ACCGCAAACTATAACTCGCGAAAAAATCAGTCTTGTCCCGTCGCAATATTCTGATGACTTTAATAATAAGTGCCTTCATTCATCCTTAATTTATCACACATATTCAGGCCGCACCATAGCTCAAGCGCTTAGGCGCTGGCTTCCCACCGCGGTGGCCCGGGTTCGATCTCGAGTCTGGTCAAGTGGGATTTGTGGTGAACAAAGTGGCGCTGGGGCAGCTTTTCTCCGAGTACTTCGGTTTCCCCTGCCAATCTTCATTCCACCAATTGCTCCACAATCACCCTCACCTATCCTCTGGGGCTGGTACAATAGTGGCCGCAGTACAAGGGACTTAGTCCCACCCCACTAGCAATAAAAAAATAATAATAATAACTACCCATTTTCTAACCGTCCTGGTTACTCTGTAAGCATAAAGTATGGCTGAGCACAAAACTCAGTATTCAATAGAACATGAGCCAGATACAAACCAATTGAAATTCAAATTACTGATGAGGATATGGATTAAACTGAAGCTACAAGACTGGGGGGGGGGAAACACTACCATTGTAAAAGTCACTGTGCGTGTGCGTAAGCGTGCTTGCGGGCATGGCCGAGAGAGAGAGAGGAGTGTGTGTGCGTATGAATATATATATATATATATGTGTGTGTGTGTGTGTGTGTGTTGAGGGGGGGTGAAATGCCTATAGGTATAGTTAGTTGATAAAGGACACGGCTTGTCATAGACATTAGTTTAAAAAAAACTCGTATTTTAATACAGAAATGTCATGCTTTTCATTGCTCTGTTGAGGTACTAATTATAACATATCAGATAAAACAAAGACATAAAACTAATCTGATGCACAATAATGTTACAATTACAATCCTGTCCTGGGGCACGCGGTAGCGTAGTTGGTTGAGCGGCTATGCTACAAGCCGGAAGGTCGCAGGTTGATGTCCCAATGGATTTTTTTCAGTTGACCTAATCTTTCCAGCGGCACTAGGCCCTGGGGTTTACTCAGCTTCTAACAGAAATGAGTACCAGGAATTAATTAAATCATTTTCCTGGGGAGTAAAGCGCGGCCGGCGCGTAAGGCTGACAACCTTAACGCCATCTATGAGCTCACTGTCTAGATAATGTGGGATCCTCAACGTTTCACAACCCTATGGGCCTTCACGGCCTGGTACAGGGATAGCTTTACTTTACAAGCTTGTTCGGCGGAAACACATCGAAAACACAAGCTTTATTTATGCACTCCACTGACATGCATAATTTAACACAGAAATGACAGAATGCAACTTGAAACCTACTCAAGCACAACAGTTACTCAGTAGCGCTGACCTACTGTCACTGAATTAAGTAGCAGTCTACATCCGTAACCTTGTAGTAGCGGCGGTATATTATGTAGTATATCCAAAGCCTGTAAGTATCAATGCTGAAAAATAGCCTAACAATATTATTACTTGTCCCTAGCATTAACTTGAAGAGGGCGGAAACTGAAGGCCACATAAACCTTCGAACTAAAATTTATACCATTTTATCAAACCGACTGGTGTATCACAGGAAACAGGCTTTACAAAGTTTTCAGTCTACAGTGAATCAGACGAACAGCCTAAATGCAGCAATTTTAAAATTATTGTGCCAGGGGTACATAAACTTCTCTGCGCCTTTGTTTAAGTTGGACACAATAACTACAGCAATGGCGAGCCGAAAGATAAAGTTCTGTGTAATGTAGTTTGTGCAACATCTTTAGTGTTAAAAAGCTGTAGAGAATTATATATGTATATATATATATATGTTTTCGTTTATATCAGGTCATTTAACTTGTAATAACACCTAACAGAATGGATGTACTAAAAATATTGGAACACGGCCTTTTTACTCATAACGAGGCAGCAAATATTATTTCTATAAATCATTCATGGATATGTATAAAAAAAGAGAGCAAAAGATTAATTTCGTTTCACAGAACCTCCCTATCCTTATAAACACAGGAATATGCTCTTAAATTTCTTCAAAATTTGTCTTCAGAACTTGGTTCCAACGACGTCACAATGTCACTGAGTTCCGCAGTTTCAAAACGAACGAGCTTTGAGTACTAAAAACTCCTTGGTTGAACGAAACAACGAAGCTACCAATATAATAAACCTGAAAGATATTAAAAAATATATATGTACAAATATATACACATATACAAGGTCCCACGTTACCGGTGCAGCATCTACTAAAGGAGAAATAGTCGTCTTAAAGCAGGGGTTCTTAACCTTTTTGTGTCATGGACACCACTGGCAGTCTAGTGAAACTTGCGGACCCATTCTCAGAATGATATTTTTAAACGCACAAAATAAAATAAACAGAATTACAAAAAAACAATTACATTGAAATACAGTCGTCAAAATATTAAACAAAATACATATCTGTGATATAGTAATATATATGTGTCTTTCTGTATTTCAGCATCCCGTTGCAACTGTTCAACTTAACGTCAATTACTTATCGTCCGTCACTATTCCAACACTTTTTTTATTCACTACTTAATTTTAATTTTTATTTATATAGATTATACACTTTGACACTACGTGTTTCTGCCCCAAACGCCCTTCTTCAGGTGTCTTGATATGTTACAAATATTTCATTAAATTATGTTAAAACTGCTACACTGTCTTAGTCCGTGTTAAAATAACACGCTGTACTACCTCGAAAAGAGGACTACAGCGTGTGATTTTAACACGGACTAAGAGAGTGTAGCAGTTTTAACATAATTTAATGAAATATTTGTAACATATCAAAACACCTGAAGAAGGCCGTTTGGGGCCGAAACACGTAGTGTCAACGTGTATAATGTTAAACTAAAATTAAAATTAAGTAGTGAATAAAGAAGTGTTGCAATAGTGACGGACGTTAATATGTGTCTTTATTAACGCTTTAATAACAAGATAATAGATTTAAAAGATAGGCAAATTAAAGTTAAATTTATCTTTCAAAGACTGTTGCTGCTTAGCTTGAAAAAGAACATTGAAATTTGGGGTAGTCTTTGACAAGGCAACACGCATGTCATGTTGGTAATACAACCGATTTTGATTTTCTTTTATTGTTACAACTGTTTGTAATCCCGATTCGCCAAGATATATTGCTGCAAATGGAATTAAACCTTCCACGGCTCGCTTTCCAAGGCCAGGACAGGCTTCTCTCAAAGAACATCAGATTTCCCCAAGGCCTTATAAGTTGACCTCAAACTGTAGTTAGTTTTTCCCGCGTAAGATCACTGCGTTCATCTTTCGCTAGATCAAAATCTTCCATACAGTTTATATCAGAAAGAAAAGGATCGCCGATCCATGATTCAACTTTAATGCCATCAAGACAGAAATAACTTTCGAAAAAGTTCTGACGTTATTTCCACGTGTTCGCAGATTTCTCTTTTCAAAGAAAGTGACAAACAATTTTGTTTCTTAATTCCATCTTAGTAAACAATTCCGCCAGCTTTGAGGTCTTCACGGCGATGACAATGAAGAAAGTTGTCTTCTGGGTTTAGGCACCGTGTATTCTTCGTTTTGGCCGACGTTTCGGAGGAACGTAGCGCCTCCATCTTCAGAGCAGTTGAATAGCTGCGGAGAGCAGTAGGCGCTACGTTCCTCCGAAACGTCGGCCAAAACGAAGAATACACGGTGCCTAAACCCAGAAGACAACTTTCTTCAATTCCGCCAGCATTTGAAAGTCCGCAAGGATGTCGGCCTCAACTCTCTTCTTCCATATCAACAGTTTCGCCAAGAGAGCTTTTAATTTTTAAGTAGCATCCATAACGGTGACTTCAGGACCTTGAACTGAAAGATTTATCTCCTTCATATGGCCAATAATATCTGCCAGGTAAGCCAACCCATGGACAAAAATCCTTTCCAAGTGTTCCAAGAGTGGGTTTTCTTTTTCTTTCAGAAAAAAGTGAAACTTTTGCCTTTAGTTTAGAAAGCTCTTCAAGACTTTTCCTTTTGAAAGTCAGCGAACTTCAGTGTGGTAGAGAAGCACTTCACACTCTGCTCCTATTTCTTGACGAAATATTTAAAAAAACGTGACGCTTCTGAGACCTGATTCTGATGAAGATGATGACGTTTATGGTTGTTGACAAAATTCGTTCAGACTTACTGGAAGAATCTTTGTTGCCAGTGCATCTCTGTGTAAAAACCAAAGTGTGACGATGTGAAGAGATCCCTTTTCACTAAAGTAGCAAACCCGGATGTGTTACCAAGCGACGCAAGAGCTCCATCTATGCAAGGAGCGTGAAGGTTTCTTTCCAGTCAAAGTTTTGTTTCGGGGGGGAAAAACTTTTACCATTTCCAAAATGCCGATGACGTCAGTGCTAGTGCTAATTTAGTGTCTGAACTTGTCTGATCTACACTCGTAGCCCGCGCGCCTCTACGTGTTACAAAAGCCAGAGCCGCCTTATGAGAGTTAAGAATTTTCATTTGAGCTGTCCAGTTTTGGAAAACTGTAACAAACAATGAAAACTACTCACCTCCTTCCACGTATTGATCAGTAAACTAATGTAGATAAGGAACACTGGAAAGTAACATAGGTATTTGGGTCACCAATATGAGAAAATCCGACTTAACCATTTAATGGCTGAACAACTACTAGGCGTAGAGCTGCCCGCCAACTGGCCAGCTACGTGGCACAAGAGATCACGTGCGATCTAGCGGCGGGTATAATAACCACCGTAGTTTCCTAGTAGTGATGAACGTAAAAGATATTTCGAGATATCTGCAATAACTCTAACCTGATATGAAAATATCTGGTGACAAAGTCACAGATACTGCTAAAACCACTGTGGTTTGTTACCCACATTTTTAATCGGGGGAAATGCAAAATTTCTGTTAGATGTTAGTGGAGATATACGTAATGGCATTTTATTTTCCTTATCCAAGTTCACGGACCCCCTGAAATCTTGTGGACCGCAGGTTAAGAACCCCTGTTTTAAAGGGACCAAAAGCCAAACTCAATTCCACAAGGAACAACACGAAGCAGTCATTACTGGATGCCGATAACTCCACAGGCGACTCTGCTGCCGGCAGTTCCCGTCTTCTTACTCTCTTCCGTGCCTGCCTTCCCCAGGTCATCAGTTCCGTTGTGCACCACGAGGGCGCGCCCGATGATGCTGTGGGCGCCACGAAGCGAAATAACGTTGTCTGTGATGTTGATAGTGGCGATACCGTTGTTACCAGCATCGATGTTACCTAGATCACCCACATGGCGCTCCGTGTCATTGGGGGCACCATGGGTGTTCTTCAAAAAGTAAAAACAAAACAATATTTTGACTTCAATATTCGCTTCCAAGTCGGGGATACAAGTTATTGAGTACCGGTACAGTGAGCTGTTTAGATAATTCAGCCCTGAAGTGTTACGTACTGTATGCTGATATACAGCTAGGCAGCAATAACAACAGTCACAGACCCTATGGGTGAGGGCACACCAAGGAAACTTGCAACCGCAACGCAACCACAATTTTGGGGAATTGTTATCAGAATGAATTAAATTGAAGACATGTTACTGAATGGAGCAGAGCAAATTGAGGAAACTGCATTGCCGTTTTCTCAATTTGCGCTGCTCCATTCAGTAACAAGTGTTAAACTCGGGCTGACAACAATTCTCGGAAATTGCGGTTGCGTTGCGGTTGCCAGTTTCCTTGATGTGTCGTCGCGCTAAGACTACAAATGTATGTAATACGAAAGCAGGTTTCGTGAGTTCTGTCACGAATTATTTCCTCGTACTTTAGGTTTCAAATTAAATTTTAAGAATGACAAGTTAAAACGATTTTTTTCCTACCTTTGTAAGCAAAAACTTCAAAATTTCATTAAACTTCGATACCATTAACACATACTGAACTGACTGGTACTGACATCGAAATTGTGTGTCAAGCCATATGAGTTGACCTATCTGTACTGGGGACACACAATAGTGTGGAATTTGTGCCGATAAATTGGATAATCCGACAAATGTAAAAATCACCCTGACTTGCGTTTTTATAACTGTACTTATTTTCTCTGTAAAGGTTCGGCCACACAGAGGGCTACGCTATGTTCGCTACGTACGCTGTGTACACTCTGCGACGCAGGTAACATAGGGAACATAGCGTACGTAGCGTACGGAAGTCTGTGTGGCCAGTCACATTGGCAATAAAGGGAGATATTTTTCTGTTCGTATAGCGAATATAGCGTACGTAGCGCTCTGTGTGGCCGAACCTTAAAACGCTCAAGTGAGAGGTGGCTCTCGTAAAGAAATGGGCTAGCTACGCAAAATAATAAACTTTATTTTAAACGTTATACATATATATACGTATGTTGGTCACGGTAGCAGAGCGGTCTAAGGCATGTACTGTCTACGCTCGTTCGGAAGCCGGGATCGTGGGTTCGAATCATACACAAGGCATGGATGTTTAGTGTGTGTGAGTGTGTGTGCGTGTGTGTGCGTGTGCGTGCGTGCGTTTATTCTGTGTTTGTGTCGTCCTGTGTTCGGGTAGAGGCCTTGTTACGAGCTGATCTCCAGTCCAAGGAGTCCTACCATCTGTAAAATGATCATTAAACTGAGAAATCAGCCCTATGATCCAAACTGGGAGCAAGAGGAGAGGGAAAAATATATACGACGCAGCATACAATAACTAAATTATGCCTCTGAATGAATAGATTAATATTTTCTGCTTAGTAAATGAAGCAAGGAGCTGACCTGTATTCAGCAGGTGACAGGTTCGCATCTCGGCCAAGACATCTGATTATCCCGACTGAGGTTTTTTGTAGTTTTCCTCAGTCCCTCCGAGCATGTGAAGAGGCAGTACCTCAAAGTATGTCACGGCCACTTTCTTGCTCATAATCTTACCATTAAAGTAAAGTTGCCCCTGTGCTTAACCACGAGTAATTAAGCGCTATGCCGTGAAGGTGTATGGGGGAGTGGATGTATAGATCCTCATTTTCTTGGCATCGGCACTAGCTGGAGGTGAGTGGTCAGTTTCACGTCCCTGCCGCTTTACCCCCAGGAAAGAGCCCCCGGTACCCATTAGACAGGAGGCTAGATGCGCCCCAGAGCCGGTCTGGCGACGTGGTGGAGAGAAAATTCTTGATCCTACCGGGACTCAAACTCCGAACCCTCGCTCGTCCAGCCCGTAGACATTCGCTATATCGACTACGCTATCCCGGCTCCTAATCCTACCATTAAACGTTATAATCTGAGATACTAACAACGTCGTTAAATAAGTCATACATATGCGTCAGTAAACAAAATAAATAAAGAGGGTCAACCGGTAAGCAAAATGGCTAAGAAATATTAAATTCCGTGCGCTCCAGAAAGAAGGAAACGGCCGCACCTGCCTCCTGCAGAGTAGTCATGTTGAGGTATGCTAAAGTACTATGAAGATAGTTGCAGGTGGGGTGTGCACGTGATTAGGTCATCTCATCCATCGCTTTCATGCAACTGCCGTGTGGCACGGGAGCCCCGCTTGCAAGCAACGCCCACGTCCCCGAGTACAGATAGTCTGACGCCACTAATCAGATAACAGGATCACGAATTACAGGCACTCAGTATGATGACGTTCTGATATTGTGATTATGCAGCACCTGCTCTATCTCAGGATAAAATAATTACTGGAACATTTTTACACACTACATCTCAACAATTTCACGCTGAGTTTGTGACAGCAGACGAACAAGATTAGAGTTATAAAGTTGGATAAATACACGGTGTGTCCAGGATCCGTTAGGACTCTTTTTTTTTTTTTAATTTTCCCCTGCAATGCCATCTGTTGGCGAGTTGTGGCGTTAAGATTCTTGGAGTTTTAGCTGTGGCTGTCTATATTTTCAAAGCGCAAACATCGCTGCATCATGTGTTCTCACCTTGAATGTAACAGTACTGTTCTGACGCTCGTCGGAAAATGGCGGTTGAACAGAGAGCCAACATCAAATTTTGTTTGAAGTTAGGCAAAACAGCCGGAGAAGCGAACGAAATGATGAAAAGTGTGCACGGTAGTGACTGAGTCGCTCGAACATTTTTCGATGGTATGCTGTATTTCGTGACGGCAGGGAGGACATTGAAGACGCTCCACGTGCATCAAAGCCGAGAATAAGTCGCACTGAAGAAAATGTGAAAAAAAGTGACCAAAGTCCTTGCATCAGACAGATGTGTTTCTGCAAGACTCATCGAGGAGCTTTTGGGAATACCAAAAAGTACTGTGCATAAAATTTTGACCGAGGATTTGGGCAAACGGAAGGTTTGTGCGCGATTTGTACCGCAGGCGCTGTCAGGCGATGAAAAACATGCCAGAGTGGAACACTGCAAAGACATGTTATGGTCGGCCCAAAGTGATACAAAATTTACAAAATCGATTGTTACTGGTGACGAGACATGGCGTTTTCAACATGAGCCTCTCACAAAGCGGCAGAGTGCAGCGTTATTGAGCCCAAAGAAGCCGAAACCAAAGAAAGTGTGCATTTGTTTTTATTGCTAGTGGGGTGGGACTAAATCCCTTGTACTGCGGCCACTTCTGGCCTACTGTACCAGCCCCAGATGATAGGCGAAGGTGATTGTGGAGCAACTGGTGGAATGAAGATTGGCAGGGGAAACCGAAATATTCGGAGAAAACCTGCCCCAGCGCCACTTTGTCCACCACAAATCCCACTTGACCAGACCCGGGATCGAACTCGGGCCGCCGAGGTGGGAAGCCAGCGACTAACCACTTGAGCTCGCGGCCCTAGAAAGTGCGCATGCAAGAGAGTCGAGTAAAGACACTGCTAACAGTTTTCTTAGATTCCAAAGGAATCATTCACAAGGAATTTTTGCCAGAAGGTCAAACAGTGAATTCTTATTATCTGGGAGTCCTCATTCGTTTGTGGGCGAGAATTCTTCGAATTCGACCTGAATCTCGAGAGCAAGGTTCCTGATCGCTCCCCCACGACAATGCCCCACCCCACAAATCGAAGATCGTGCGCGATTTTTTGGCCAGAAAAGGGATCACAGTCCTTGATCATCCTCCGTATTCGCCAGATTTGGCTCCAGCAGATTTCTGGTTGTTCCCAGAAGTTAAGTTGGCAATGAAAGGAGACCGTCACGACACCATCCAGGACATCCAAAGGGAATGTACCGCAGTTTTAAATGCGATTCCACAAAAGGAGTACAGTGACTATTTTCGAAAACTTTTCAATCGATTCCAGCTATGTATTGATTCAGAAGGAGACTACTGTGACGCGTTACCTTACGTCCATCACTGCGACAACAGCTACAATCGGAATGGACACTTCCACGACCTTGTGGAACTCCCACAGCGACAAATCGTAGCAACGGATTGCTTAACAGCTGTAACGGAACCGTGAGAAATGGTGTCCGGTATCCAGTCCGCATAACCCGTATATAAGCAGAGCTTACGACACGCACAGAGTATTGAGTATTAGATTATGAGAACGAGACAATCTTGGGACAGCCGCCATCAGAAACAGTTGAGATCCAGCCAAGGCCAAGGATAGTTGAGACGTCGCATTGGAGTATTGAGCCAGAAGTCAAGTGATATTGCAAGTGGTGATAATTGTGGGTGGGTAAGTGTGAGTGTCCAATAAAGATTCGCTAAATCCGAGACCCGCATGAAGTTATTTGTCGCATGACATACCAAACACGTGACATTATTTTGAATAAAAAGAATGACATTTTGAAAATAATTCACGTCTTGTATTTTTAATGAACACAGTCATAACAGAACCTGGACACACTGTATACGCACACAATTCTTCCAGAGCAGGCAAAGTGGGCAGGATTGTAACCAGTAGAAAAACGCGAGAGGATATGACTTGACTGGTACAATTTCAGTTCTTTAGTTGTTTCTGCGCTTACCCAGTAGCCCAAAGACCAATTATATAGCAAAGTGATAAACAAACACATACACAAAAACAACAGATAAAACAGGGCAATTTGTATCATTTAGACAATTAAGCGGCCTCCGTAGTATAGGGGTAAGGTTCCCACCTCATGACTCAAGGTACGCGGGTTCAAACCCGGCGGAGGTGGAATTTTTAAGGGCGGAAAAATTCAGGGAACAAGTCCTGCGGGAGGGACTTTAAGCCGTGGGTCCCGTATCGTAGCTTTACGTCTCGTAAAAGATCCTCATGTCTCCAGGAGACCTCTGAGCAAAATTAGGCAACACATTTCCCGCCCAAGTAGTTTCCAATGCCTCTGGTAGATGGGGGAAATATCAGGTACCTAGGGCCAACCTCGTTGGCTGAACGGGGCTGATAGCACGCACCAGTACCGGT